CTTTGTTGGTATACATTGCTCCTGGAGTGAAATGAGGCAATAACCTCATGTGATTTGCACATCCCAGAAAACTTGCCAGTGAGGTTAGAGACCTCTGTGCAGCTGATTTAAGCCTGCTGGTTCTGGGTTGGTTTCTTCTTCATAGGTTGTGTAGAGGTATACTGCAGACCCACCAGGTTGGACACTGAAGTAGATGAATATTAGAAATTTGATGCTGATGGATTTAAAAAAGAAACAGTCTGTTCATGCAGTGTGAGTGATACAAATATGAGCTAACAGTATGGTTGTACGGCTCCATTTTTCAAACTGTGCAAGTAGAGGTACATTCTAAATACAGTATTTTGGGCCCAGTTCCTAATGAGATCCCAGATATGGCAGAGTACAGGCACCTCAGCAACAAAGACTAAACCAAATCGAGTGAACTTTGCATAATTATGAACTGAGAATATGAAAGAACATAGCATATGTCACTCATGTCCCAGAGGCGAAAACAGACTGATAGCACAGACAGATATCAGGGGCCATGGAGAGAAAACAGTATGTCTGACAGCCTGATGCAGACCTCGGCTGTGTTCTGGAGAGCTAAGCAGATAGATTTATGGGCATGTGCATTTACACTATAGTGTAACAAATGAGGTAGATCATTCCTACAAGGCACCTTGAATTTCTTGGAAAAAAAATGGTGTTCTGGATATTGCTGTAATTGACTTGTCTTTTGCTTGTCAATAAGGAAAAAAAAAATTAGTCAAAAAATTTTGGACAACACTTAGAATCTAGGTAGCAAAATGACCTCTTTGTTTGGTTTGGGCTTGACAACCTGACATTGACATTAGCCCCAAAGGTTAATAGTCGTCTCTTCTTCTCCTGTGAAGTAATAATACTACAGCTATGTGTCTGAAGGTGATAATGTCACTATGTGGACAGTAAATCATAGAATCATAGAATCATTTAGGTTGGAAGGGACCTCCAAGATCATCAAGTCTAACCATTGAGCCATTAGGGCTCTAAAGTCCTCTGCTAAAACAGATCAGAATAAATGCTCACACTTACCAAAGCTGTGAGTCAAATGAAGCCCTGAAGGCTATTTAATCACCTAAATCGAAGATTCATTTTCCCAGGTGTTGTGGCTGTTTCATAGAAGTCAGTAGGTTTAACTCATTCTATTGGTTTCCTTTTTTTCTAAATGTTGCTTTCAATTACATTTTATTGTGTTTTATGTTTGGCTTTTTTTTTTTAATTTTATTTCTCTGTTTCCAGTGGAACTGTACTTAAATAACAGACTTCATAATCATACCGATAAAGGTGTTACGTTTGAAATGTTATTTATGGTGAAAAAGAAACAACTCATAGATAAAGCAAATGCTTTATTAGTAGTATTATTTAATTTTTAACAGTGTAATTCAAGAATCATTATTAGTTGAAATCTAATTATTTTCAGAAAATGATACTTCTGTGCAGAAAAAGTTTCAGTAATAGTAATAATGTTAAAAGTACACTACACACTTCTGAGCTTCTGCTGGTTTTTGTGGTGTCTTGTCCACCCGCCCCCTGCTGCTGGGTCCTGAAATGGGCAGTTTCACTACAGTGGTGGTGGATGGGGGCATTACGGCATGTCATTGGTAAGGATGTAATGTTTGTTATGATGGTTCCTTTTTCCTCGCTCTAGGATCTACTTGGGGGCATTTTTATATTTGCTAACACATTTTTAGATATTGCTGTTTCTTCACTGATCTGAAGCTCCATGTTACAGCCAGAGTTAGTAAACACGGAACCTCTCATGTATTTTAGAAGTTTCTTTGTTCTCCTCGTTACCCCTAGAAGCAGTTTTGTCCAGCCTCAGATCTACATTTCTTTAGCTGAGCACTAGTGATCTGTTTACAGCTTTGAGGTCTCCAGTGCCAGTCTGTGTCCATCTCTCTAGCAATGGCAATACCATCGGACTACAGGGTAACAAAGGTCATAATACAATTCAAGGTAGGTACAAGGAAATGTAGTTATATGTGCACAAGGAAAGGTAGTTATAATGTGGAGTGCCAAATATGTATTTTCCTAAAGGGCTCTCCACTCACCTGTCTGTTGTAATGTAAATAGGAGCACACCGTTGGGCGTGGATCTCTCTGGTTTGCTTTTGTTCTATAAAATATTTTCCAGTCTTAGTAGCTGTTTTCTGAGACAAATAATACAGTGAATTACACATCTGACAGAGCTGGCATTCCAGTTACTAATTATCAGGTAATATACGTACAAATCAGAAGTACTGAACTTTTTTACATAACTAAGATACAAAGACACAGTCCAGTACAAAATTCTGTGCAGTGGAATCTTACCTGAAAACCAGCAAAAGGCACAGTAGGAGCATTGGAGCAAGGCAAGAGCAGGAGGCTGGATTTATAATCCCATGTTTACTGATTTCTAATGCAGAGTCCACAGCTCTGCATTTGTTTATCTTCAGGAATATGTAATGTATTTCTTTCTGTTTACTCCTGGGCGAGAGTACGTGTGACTGAACATGAGACACCAGTCCAGAGATATATAAAGTAGATACTGTGAAGTAAGAGCGTACACCCATACAATTTTTATCCTTAGGCACATTTTGAATGTCTACCACCTGGAAGGGGATGGTTGCAATATAAGGGATTGTTCAGCTGGGCTGTTATTACCATACCTCATGATCAGGCGTGTGTGCGTTGCATTAGTGATAGGGCAAAAGGACAGCATCCTTATTTCTTTTATCTTCTTCATCTGTAAATTGGCACTTTCAATATCTCTGTGAACATTGAGAGCCTGGTACAGAGGGTCAGGTTTTCTCCTTGCTTGTACTCTTGTTAATCCATTTAGCTCAGCATCACAAAGAGGTCACACAAAATCAGCTGCTATTAAGTGTTTGGGCCATGCTACTTCATGCTGATAAAAACTCTTCTGTTTTCCTGCCACTGTAGAAAATGTTGGAGCACTTAGCAATTCTTGAAAGTGAAGTTATAGTTAGTAATTTGTCTTTCAGAAATGATTCTTAGCTTTGAATAATTTTTTTCATTACTCTGATAGGAAATTTTTCAGCCTTATAAAGCTGAAAAGAAAAAAAAAAAAGAATTTGTTATCTTGGAAAGACGGTTGCACTGAAATGATTTGCATGTGAAGGAAGCACAATTCACTCACAAAGCTCCTCACATTTCAGATTTCTTTATCTAATTGGTAGTAATTTAGGTACTTGCTGCATTAACTTGTGGGATACAAATCCAGAGATCTGTATGAGAACAGGGTCAGTATATTTTTAATAACAGTTCACCAACAATCTGTAGCAGAGTAACCAGTCTGGCACTAATCCTACTGGTTCTAGCACTATTGTTAGACTTTCAGGCTTGGCTCTAATGAGCTATGATATTATACCCTTTTTCAAGTGATTGGTGGTTGGTGCAGATAACCAAGCAAAAAATTCCTTTAAATGCAGCTCTCTTCAGCTAGATTGCCACATGCTACCCAAATATGCATAATGATAGGTAAGAACTTCCACATTTCCAGCTTTACCTTGTCAGCTGAAAGACAGCAATGGAGAAAACTGTGCTTGGATTGGTGCAGGCAGATTATAGTGAAGAACCTGCACTTGCTGGAGGTGTTTATTTAGATGCATTAAGGCCAAATACAGGTAACGCCCTGTAAGTGCAAAAAGTAGGATGCAGATGCATGAAATGTTTGAAAGGGTCAGGCCTTCTTTGCCAATTTCTTACCTGTAAATTGCTTGCCAAATTAGTGATAGAAATTTGAACTGGTATTGCAAGGTTGCTATATAGGTATTCATATGCTTAGACTATTTTGTACCGTTAGCTGGTGCAGTGGGTCATTCTGAACTGAACTTTCAAACATGTAATTACGTGAAGCTAAAGTAAAAATCATTTTGTAATATCTGATATAAACAAGCTATTCTATTTTGAGTGATTCAGTGAAACATAAAGTGAGAAAATCCAGTAATAGGAGGCTTAAAAATAGAAACTTTCTGTTGTATTGATTTAAACAATTTTAAAGAGCAAAAGTATACCATGAGTTGCTTATATTTGGGCTCTTGCTTTTCTTGTTTTAACAGGACTGGGAGTTTCCACATTTTATGGGTGATGTTGAAGTGAACCTTCCAGGCTTACCATCTGCACACATGCAGTTCAAAGTACCTTATTTCCAAAAGATCTTAAAAGAGGAATATCACATACATATCACAGGTATGTAATCTTGCAGATTGTGACACAGCCACACAGTGAACTGCTTCTGCGTAATAAATATATGCTAACGTGTTCTTAACCACATACTTCTTGTGTGTGTGTCCTAGATCACAATTTTTCTGTTTATCTGTCCATATCCATATCATCCCTATATAAACATCTCAGAGAAAAGAGGAACATGTATCTTATGGATCAGAGAGACCAGCTGTTTTTCATGGATTCCAGCAACTTCTTGTGACACTAAGTAATACCTAATGTAGCTTCAAAGATCTTTTATCTAAAACTACTCTCCAGGGGAATTAGTGGCTTATTTAATTTTCAAGTCTCTTATACTTTCAAATGCTTTTGCTATGATTTATGCTAATATCTTTTCATAACTTCGGTCAGTCTCATCTGGCAAAACCCACTCATAACCATACTTCCATCATTCATTTAACCAGAAGCCGACAGCTAAATAACCTCAAATAAAATAGCAGTTATTCAAATGGATGGTACATATAGATAAAAAGTCCCTGATCTTTGCATACTGTGAGACAGTATTTTAATAACAGTAGGGAATGAAAAAGATAAGGTTAAATAGGAATAAGTATTTGGTTTTACCTTCAAGCTATGCAGAATGAGCATAGCTCCTCTCTCTACACTGGGAAAAAATTGGATAATAATGGATAGCAAAAGAATGCAGGTGTGAATTGTCAGGGGTCTTTAACTGCTAATATAAACAACCTCAGCATATGATACTGTAAAGGAATAAGATAGATGAGGACATCCAATGACAAAGCCACAGGAAACTCCTGCAGAGCAGAAACAAAAGGAGCATTCAGAGATGATACAAAGATAAGGCCAAGAGCTAGCAGGTGAGTCACAAGCTCACTAGGCAGCAAAAGCCAAGGCAAGAAAATGTGCCAAGGAGGAAAGAATGATGAACACAAGACTCAGACAAGATAGGCTGAGCGAGGCCTCAGAAAAAGCATTTTCAGCAAGGAAAATGCAAGAAATCAGCAAGAAATCTGAGTGATCAGATTAAAAATTAGAAAAGAGTAGCAAATGAGGGCACAAGTTTCCTGCTGGCTAGTGGATGAGGGAAGGCAAGTAGGACCAGTAGAAAGTGCAGACAAAGGGATGCAAAGTTTTTCAAAAGTGGATGTAAGTGCCCTGCTGCAATAGACAATCCACAAGAAGAAATAAGGGCTGGGGCCCTTCTGTGCGAGATCATTTGAACCACTAGTGGTTTGAACAGGATGAAGTAAATGATCTCATGGTCAGTGACTGGAAGGTGAAAGAAGATGGGATGTGTACATGATGGACACATTTTTCTCTTCCAAGTGAGCAAAAAGGGAAAAGGGGGTGCATGGGAGAAGAGGGGGGGAAGAGTGTAAGCATCAAATATTTGATGTGAATTTTAGGCATGGTATTCAGGGATAGTGAAAAAGACTTTTTTTTTACTTCTCAAGACTAGAACATGAATTTGGAGGGCCTTAGTCCTACAAGGCTCCCAGATACCCTGCAGTTATTCCACCGTATAAGGAGAAGTAGTGGAATGGGTGCACAGAAGAGCATGAACAATTACTGAAACATGGGAGGGTGGGCTGTGCCATCTAATAGAGAAACTCAGGATGTAATTAATGGAGATGAAAAACGATGGGTGGTGGAAGAGGGACTGAAGAGCAAAGAACAGTTTTGCACTGTAAAAGAGACAAGGGTAATGATAGTGATCAGGGAAGAGCAAAGAATAAGCAACAGCAAAGAACATAAATTAGGGTTCAGACATACAACAGTGCTGCTGTTTGGAAACAGACCAACCAAGAGAAACCAATATTTATGCACTGTAGAGTCTTCTGCAGAGAGGACTGGAGCCCTTTCTGATTTTCTGGCAAGAAGGTATTCTTTTAATGAGGATGAGCTAATGAATAGTGGCTGAGGAATATTTTCCCCTGCTCAGCATTAACAAGATCCATTTATAGATTCACTAGACAAATCAATCCATCTGACTGCACATCACGTACTCTGTCTATTGAGTGCCTGTTTTACCTCAGTGCTACACCACCCTTTAGGAAATCTAATAAACAGCCATAACACATGGCACAAGAACCTCCCCTTGGGTAAGTTTTGCTTGAACCATCTGTTCTTGCCGTAAGTTCTTGTCTTAGGTTAGGGTATCATCTTGGATCATTTTCAAGCTCTAGTTATATGTAGATGTGCAGATACTTGTAAATTTCTACTCAAATCAAAGGAGCTAATAAAAGAAAGAAAGAACTGGTTCGGTATAACAAAATTAATGTAATCCAATCTAAAATGAGGGTAGAGAGTCATGCACATGAATGCAACTGCAGATGACATGGGGCTAGGACATTGATAATGGCAGGAAGCCTGCTGTATTTAAGCCCTTTTTAATGCATGGGGTCCAGAATGTTAAATTTAACCATAGGAGTTCTTTTTTTGTAAGAAGCAGGAAAAGACGACTAAGACCTGAATATCATTTATTTTAGGACTTGCTATAAGGATAAAGTCAGGCTCTAAATATATGACCTGTGCCCTGATTTGCAGAAACTGGAAACCCTTTTCTCCCAAATAGCAAGGAAAAAGAAAGCTTAGCTGAAATAAAATTTACCATCCTTTTCCTGGCAAATTTTATTCTTCATAAGTTCTTTTAAAGTCTGTTTTGGTCACTGTTGATTGATATGAATAAGAGCAGCCTTACAAGTCCCCTGAGCAGTGCTGGGTTGATCTAATGAGCAACAGTCCCACGGAGAAGCAGCCCTCAGTAAAGGGGCATTCAGAGAAGTAAAGGACTTTAAACCACCTTTCTGGTGGTGTGTGCTTATTGGCTTTGTCCAAGTTCTGCATAGGTGAAGGATTTCACAGTTACATGCTCTGTGTTGCGAGCTCTCCTGATTTTATCACAAGTCTAAGGTGCTTTATTTATTTACTTATTTATTTATTTTGTCTTAAAGTTTTAGCTCCTGAATTCAGTGACTACATGAGAATTTCAGCTTTCATAAAATAAAGCTCCTGATTGCAGAGAAGAAAAATGAAATGCTGCTTCTACATAGTTCCTTGTCTAAAAAAGCAGCTAAATAAAACAGTGCTGAGTATATTATTTTTAACCCATTTTGCTACTGTAAACTAATAACATGCTTTCTTATCCTGACTTGTGATTTTTGAATGTTTTAAGCTGGCAGTAATATCGAATTAACATCTGCAGCCTTTAGCTGATATGCCTCAGTATAATTTTAAATGTACTATCAAAAGCATCTTATTTTTACTGGTAACTAAGTATCCCATTTTGCTCAAATTTCTTTGCATCTAGGAACTCCCGGCAAGCATCTACTCAGTATTAAATATCTTTATCCTGTTTTGATAGCTGCTTTTATCTATGAACATCAAAAATAACTTGGATTCCTGCATCTGCTTAATTCATCTGTATTTCCCTTGACAGATGGTTTGTTGCAAAGTGTGTGGTTTCCTTCTTGGGCTGCTGTTTATAAAAATACATAGTCTAGCCTAGTTTCTATAATACCCAGGGAAATTTGTAAAACTTAAAAGTAAATTTTATTACTTCAGAGTCTTTCATGGTTAAAAGTCACTAGGGCCCTGGCTGGTACCCTTTAATAGCAGCACTGGAGATCCAATAGCATCATCTGTCAAGTATGTGGATAAGTTTCAAATAGGAAATTTTAAGGTTTGTTTGTCAAAATGGATGGGAGATTTTTCTGGCTGTTTATGAATGTATTTCTAAGTACTGATCTAGCAAGAGTGCCCTTTCACCCAAGGGAGAAGTCATCATCTTCGTGGCTGGCGAGTGCCTAGCATGGATGGCCTGTGAAGTTAAATCAAAAGTGTGTCTAGATTCAGGCCAAGCATCACCTACACAGGCAAGCCTGAGGGAGCCCATGGGCAAAAATAGGAAGGTTAGGGTGAAAACAAAGCTGTCCATGCACACAGATGTGAAAAATCCTCAGAGGATTTGCAGGTTAGTTCAGCTGTGTGTGGTCGGTGTGCATGTATCTAGCTAATAACACTAATGTGACAGGAGATATGAAGAATATTTTAAAGGTACCTTAATGTTTTACTTTGAGTGTTTTTAGACACAAATTGCAATTGGGATAAGAGTCTAAAATCAACATTTCCTACACTAGCCTCTGGCTGCCATTCCACAGCATGAGGCTGCTTGAGTCTAGCCTTAATAAGTGGAATTTTTACATTTACTCTTGACCTCAGGAAGGATGCTGAGGGCTGGCTTCTACATGAGTTCTCTTTTTTTAGGACATGACTGTTCTGCTACAGAGTGGATGTACAAAAATCAAAATATATTCAGAGAAGGGTCCTATGACACAAGGCCAAGCTGTTGTAAGTGGACATTGTTCTAGCATCAGGTTTTCCCTTCTTGTGAATGCCCTAGCCATGAGGATACAATCCTCCTAAACAGCCATGCTTCCTCAGAAAACAGGAATCAAGTTTTCATCCCCAAAGAGTGGCTGTAGACTATAATACCTGGGAAAAGGTTTCACAATTTGCATCACACCCTCACGAGGACACCCAGTGCATGCTGTTGGCTAGCTGCACACCTCCAGGTTTTCTGGTTTGGGATCTTGCACTGAATTTCAATATTACATTACATCAAAACAGATTCATGTCATGTGTAACATGTAAGGATGTCAGTACTGTGAATGCCAGTTATTAACCAGGTCTTTTTTTTAGTAACACATGGCTGAATGACACAGCCTATTTTACCATCTTATTTTCTTAATTGTAACTTCATTGAAGGGTCTGGGTATAATTCTTCATGTTTGCTGAAATGTTTGACTAGCTTTCCAGTCTTGAGAGCAGATCTGTAGATTGCATCTATGAAAAATCCACCTGCTCCAAGCATGGTGCCAGGTATATGCCAGTGTCCTTGGCCACACAGACATCACTGGAGTAGAGCCAACCCTAGAGAAATAGTGGTGCTAATCCTACTGAAATTGGTTAAGATGAATCACTGTAAAGAAATTATAAATCTATGTAAAAATAAAATTAAATCTATGCCTAAGCTTGATATATGACTTAAAGTTTGCTATAAAAAGTACTATGCTAAAATTAAGTTGCAATAGACAATGATTTCATATACATAGATTATATGCGTGTATAATGTTACAAGTATAGTAAGTCTCAAAAATTACTTGTCATAGGAAACCATCACCAAACAGATGTTTGTGAGTGGAGACACTCAGGCCTCACGGTTCAGTCTGTCCTTCAACACATTTATCACTGCTCTGAAAGGATTGCTTGTTCACCTGGACTTACTTGGCTATCATGCCTGTTACTACAGCAGTAAACCACATGTCTTGAAGAATGATAGGCAGCAGAGGATTCTGTATTCTAGAAAGAGGCAAATATTTCTATAAGTACCCAAGAGAGCATAATTCCCAGTCATTTTGAGTCAAAGGAGGTGAACGCAGCCCTTGGCTACTGGGAATACTGAGTAGGAGTGGGAAGATGTCACTGTGTTCATAGATGGTTATAGTGGGACTGTTAAGCATATACAGTTTTTGGTTCTGGTGACAATGGTTTTTCAAAAGAAAAGGAAAAATCATAGAGCTCATCAAGCATGACAGTGATGCAGAGGATGGAAAAATTTTCTAGAAATGAGAAATTTAAGGAGTTTTGAGAACATCCAGTATAGAGGCAGGTCTCCGGCAGCCAGAGTCCACTTAGACATACAGGTTGCAATTCATCTTATTTAACTGGGGTGTCTCCCTCTAACCTCTTTGCCTAAGTGCTCTTTATATATATATAGCTGTATAAGCTAACTTGGTCTAGGAGCTGAATGGGTGAGGGAGTTTCAAGTTCATGCTTTTTATGAAAGAGGAATAATTGAAATGCATATCTTTCTTAGATCAGGTGAACATTCAAATTCTTAACATAAGAGGGGTGGAGCCTTTTTTAGACAGATACATCTTAGAAGATATTTGAAGTTATGAAACCACAGTATAGGATAGATGTTATGTGAAATCTGAGACCAAGCACCCACCATCCCTAGTCTCTAGCAGATCTCTCTGAAAAGTCACCTGTCTCAGCTCTGCAGAAACACAAAGTATCACAGAGAACATTTTGATGAAGCCAAGAGCAAAAGAAGTGGAAGATGTTTTGGCACAGGTGTATGATGCATTTTCCTGGGAAAAGAATGTGGCTTAAGGATTTAACTCTGGGGCTACGCAGCAAGGGGTTGCTTGCTGGTTAAAACACAGAGTAGTACTTGATAATAAATTATTATTTCAAAAAGTGTCCAAGTGAACAACCTTAACAGGAAAGGACCGTTTAGAATGAAGGAGATGATATTTTCTTTCAAACTGTCCATAGGTAAACAGACAATAGTTTTTATATTTGTTTCATTGTAATTTGTGTTTAGCCTATTTTCCTAAGGAAATCAGTTACATGATCATGTTCTCTGGGTTGGTCTCATTCTCTGTCCAACACTCAGTGTCAAATAACTTTTGAACCCACAGCCAGTTTCTAAAACATTTTCAGAGGATGGGAATGTGAAAAATAATGACACTATCATTGTGTCCTAAGAAATGGTGATTAGGTAAAGGAGAATCATCTTAAGTTAGAGTGTTCAGCTGAGGAAAAAGCAGGGAGATGTCAGGCATTATGTCTTGTCTGACAACAAATCAGTGAACAGGTGTGTCCCAGCCAGCCCATCAACACACACTGTGCAAGATATATTCTGTCCCTGTCTGTTGAAAGGTCATACATGGATGGGAGAACTAAGGTTATTCTGGTGGAGAGAAATAAATAAAAGACAGGACAAAAAATCCTCAGGAAGTGGCATCAATCTAGTTTGGTCTAGCCTCATATTTTAGCATAATTTTCAGTGTTTTGGAGCTTATTTAAGAAACTAAAATATTATGCGATGTGGTGATAAACTTCGAAAACCATTATTTTCTGCAACAAGTCAATTATAATATTGATGAAAACCCAGGAAAAAAGAGAGTAGTTATTCAGGAATTATGTGAACAGTATTTGGTACAAGGTCTTCAGTGCAGTTTGATTTCTGTATAGTGACAATAACACAGGAGAATGAACATTCTTGTTCATCTTCATTCTAAGTATAACCTAGGCTGAAGCGGACTATTAAACACAACTGCTGAAATACAAGGAGTTACCCTCCTGGAGCATTCTGGTTGTACAGTTTGGACACACAGGTTTTCAGGAGCTGGAATTCATTTATTCTTTACAAGCCAACGGCATAAATCACTTGATACGTTCATGTTCTTTTTCACTTGAAACATACCTAAATGTCATTCCAGTGTAGGCCAATATCATTCATTGCCAGCATGGGTAAGATCAACATGCATCCAGCTAGAATGTAAGAGATGCTTCGATTATGAAAAGAGTATCATTTCCTTTGTGCGTTTGTACAATAGTTTAGGTTAGAGGGGACACCTGGAGTTCATCTCTTCCAACACCCTACTTAAAGCAGAGCCAGCTTTGCAGTTGCACAAAGTTAACTTTTATGTCTTTTAGTTGCCTGGAGGAAGCATGAAAATGAGCAATTTTAAATAATAAAAAGAGAAAGCTTTCCTCCTCCAGTATTTTAGGAGCTTAATGTTAGACTATGAGTCACTCCTTGGAGGAGCTGACTAGCCTCCCAAGACTACAGAATTAGCCCTTGCTATTTCTTGAGGGTGTAATAGCTTTAAATCACAGTTTATCTGATTGCCCCCACCTGAATATATCTGCACACCATGGTTGGTATATCAAACACTGTATGTATACACTCTTAAAATTTGCATGACCTCCAAAACTTCAATCACTTCAGTCACTCCTGACTTGGAAACACTTCTATCAAATATGGCCTTTTTGTGGAAAAATTCCATCTGAATATTTTTTAATCCCTGGAATTAAGCTTATTTAGGTTTATTGAGCTGTACATTACCTAGTGGTCTAATTGGCAGGTCACCTGCAAGCTGCAATGTGAATTCAGTTGTTATGCTGCTGTACTTGTGTTACATAAATATTTTATTATATGCCCAGACCTAATTGTGTAATTCTAGGGGATATTCAGCATAAATTTGACTATGGTAGAAATTTTACAACAATTTTGCTTTACAGAGCAATAAAAAAGAGGTTGTTTTCTTTTCTCTGAGTATGTTTTACATACAACTGCACTTGTACTGCTTCTAAAAGGTATTTATCAGATGACAGAATTTTCTTTTTCCAAACAGGCAAATGGTTCAATTATGGAATTATCTTCCTTGTTCTCATCCTGGATCTGAATATGTGGAAGAATCAGATATTTTACAAACCCCATGAATATGGTCAATATATTGGTCCTGGACAGAAGATCTACACAGTGAAGGACTCAGAAAGCTTGAAAGACCTTAATAGAACTAAGCTATCTTGGGAGTGGAGATCGAATAACACCAACCCATTGACCAACCGGACCTATGCTGAAGGAGACATGTTCTTACACAGCAGATTCATTGGCTCTAGCCTTGATGTCAAATGTCTGGCTTTTATTCCAAGTTTGCTGGCTTTTGCTTTGTTTGGTTTCTTCATCTGGTTCTTTGGGCGATTTCAGAAAACTGACCAAGGCATGGAGAATTTAGACAAATCATACACAAGAATGAAGCGGAAGTCACCGTCAGATATGGGAATGACACGAGAAAATACACAGGTGTTAGTAGAAGAACCATTAAGTTTTCAAGAACCACATCTCGTATCCATAAAATCAGACTTAAGCGAAATAGTTTTTAATTCTTCTCTCCTAACTTCTGAAAACTTGAACGCACAACTGAATGAACAAGATAGCCCTTTACAGCCAGGACCAGAGTCCTCTGTCCCTAAGAGTAATCCTGTGACGTAGAGGCGAATACCCAGGAAAATAAATTTAAATAAGCAGTTATTATAAGATTTCAGTTTTACCTTTTGTAAGTTAAGATTTACATAGTGTTTAGAATAAGAAACTCAACCTATACCAAAAGGTGCTCAGCATGCTTTTTCTAGGAATTTTGGGTTTTATTTGTATTATAGTACGTGCCTACTGTATATCTAACATTCCTTTATAGATTGCTTCCCAAAATTGCACAAGCTATTGATTAATACATTACCTTAACTGTATAATAGTGTATTAGATGATTACTTGCAGGTATAAAATTCTACCGTGGTGGTGCCTTGAGACATTAAACTGTTTTTTAACTCAACACCAGATGTATAGCACAGTTCTTCTAATCTTTTTTGCAAAGCTTTTTGTATATGGTTACTTCAAGTATCATTTGATGTCTTTACAGAGGAGATAAATATAGCTATTCCTAAAGACGGGTTTCTGTTAGAACATCACAACTTGACTTTGTTATTTACTCATCTGAAGCCAGTGACTTTGATGACCGGACTGCAGAGAAGCATGTTGATTACCTTTTAATTTTTGCTGGCTAGCTTCCAAACACAAATACAGATTCATTATGCGGTCAACAGCAGAGTGATAGTACAGCATGGGTCACTACTTGTGAAAATATGACTTTCTCCATCAGTAAGAGCAATGAGGAGATAATACCTCATTATATTTTTCCCAATTAAAGATAAACTGCTTCTTGATTAAAAGAAGTTTTGCCCTTCACCTTTTAAAAACAGGGGTGAAAATATACGGCCAAAGTACCTCTTTCCATCATCACACCAAAGCTATGCAACATCAAAGAGCCAATGGAGTAATTACAGTAAAGGACATAATACCCATTAAATCTGGTAGTTGTGTAGTTCAGTGCTGATATGATCTGGGCATGCATGAAACATACATAGAATCACACCCCATCCAGTCTGTCTCACTTCTCCAAATACTGCAGAAGTGTTTAGGAGTCTTAATGAAAATATATTAATAACTGAATTTTATTGCACCCTTTTTTTCCCCCTTTGTTCATTATTCACTAATAAGTGTAACCTGGAAGCAGAAACAGAGGAACTGGGGTTTGCATTTTTGAAGGGGACTTTGTAATGTGAATTCATTCCTCTGTTGTATGATCAAACTATATGCACTAGAGAAACTGCATATCTAGAACATCAGAAAGCCTCTGATTTGCCTCTAATTTAGTTCTATAAATTGTTGTTATCAGTTGCTAAATAATAAGTCATTTTTGAGTCTGAATTATTTCCCTGTCATTTACTGGTGTTGCTGTATTTTGTCTTTGTGACTTTTTTATCTCCGTTGTTTTGATCTATCTGCTTTTAAGTTTTTGGAATGCTGAATTTAGCATGCATAATAGAGTTATGCATTTATTAACTGTCACTTGAGAAACAATTTTAATAAACATCATTCAACAATTGTTTATTATGAGGCAGGAACATATTCTGTTAGTTTTGCGATTTTTTTAAACATTTTACCAATGCATTGTCCTATTTAAAATCATAAATATTTCTGACACTAAAAAAAGACAGGCAGTTTCACAGTAATGTAAAAATCAAATATTTTGCTTATGAAACATTTAATATTTCATCAAGAGAAAATTCACTTTATAATCAGACAAAATTTTTATCCATTAAAAATTATGACTAAAAATAAATCTATTAACTTTTGCCTACTGCTCATTTCATTGACTTAAGATATAGTCAAAGACAAGCCATTAATTACTGATGGTAAAACACTGAGAACGTGCTTGTACTATATAAGAGGTGGCTATATTGATGTTTGACTTTCAAATAGCATTTGATTTCTTGAGTAGTTAGAGAAATAGCTGATTAATTTTTCAGATACATGCTTCTCTGTATGTTTTGGACACTGTAAACCCAAGCACTGAAAATCTCCCTTTAACTGATTTCTTCTTTTTTGTGCATAGGAGTGGTTAAATCCATTAATATGTAGGCTGAAAATGAAAGAATTACTTGAGCCTCACACCCTGCATGACTCTGAGAAAACTGTTATTAAGCAACTGATGCGCAGCTAAAATAATTCTGTGACCTCACATTGAGTTAATGCTTTTAAGGTCATTTTAAGCCTGCATGAAAGAGAGAAAAGCATCAAGTAATCCTAGATTTTGCATGAGTATTTAAATTAATGGTCAAGCAGAGAGACTGCTTATATCATGAATTCATAAGAAGTTAAAAGATTTAGTGTAGCCACTCACCATGGTCAACTCATCAATTTAATTAAAGGAGGAAGGACTCCTCAGTTGTGTGGGAGTCTCATTTGTAAACATAGGCACAGATAGGAGAAGAGAGGAGTACTTCCACTCTCCATTTCCAGCGTTGAATTGACCCTAAGCTCCTTCTGAAGAAGACAGAGACTTGGGAGCTGAACACTCTAAAGGTGATGTGGTACCTAACTTAGTAATTTATCTCTGCATTAGCAAGTAGCACAGCTCAGCAGAAATGGGTTTATGGGGTGAAACAGCTGATGCTCAGGACCCAGGACCCACAGTTTATGCATTTCAGGATTTTACTTCAGTTTAACTCTCATCTGGTCCTTACAAACTGAGTGTACATTAGTGGCTGGAGTACATTTCAGACAAATCTTGATCATGAGCAGAGACCATGCAGTTTGAATTAGGGGAGAGTAAGTGGGCACAATCTACAGCGCATTCTTGAGGTGCTGGGGTTAAACCCCCAGCCCTGAATGAGGGTTGACATGTGGATAGTGTCCACAACCAGGGAAGACAGACCCTCACCCAGGGTCTGGCCAGCCTTGGGTGGGAACTGATTAGAAGATCACCACCAGGTGCCCCCACCTTCCACATTAACCTGGAGGTGGGGCAAGAAGCCACCTCTTTTAAGAGCTGACTCAGCTTGTAGGGGGCCTGGGAGGTGTGTGAGAGAGGAGTTCCCAGGGTGACAGGGCTAGAACATGAAGCTGTCTCTTGAGTCTCTGCTCTGTAACTGGGCCTGGCTGCTACCATATCCCATGGCTTGGCTCCTCACCTGGCTTGCTCCCTTCTTCATGTCCACTGTTGTGGGTGAGTGCATTGACTTGTTCCTTCCTCTGGTTGTCTGGCACTTTGGATCTCTGGTGTGTGATGTGGTAGTGGAGGGAGGAGTTTGGTTGCTGGTCTGCCTGTTAAAGATTATATCATTCTATACTGGACAAGTGGTCAGCAGAAGAGTTCTTGAGCAGAGCTACTAATGCAGAGTCATCCTCAGTCTTAGAATCATTGAGTGCTTTGGGTTGAAAGGGACGTTTAAAGGTCATCTACTCCAACCTCCCTGCATTGAGCAGGAGCATCTTCAACTAGATCAAGTTGCTCTGAGCCCTGTCCTGCCCTTTAATGTTTCCAGGAATGGGGTTTCTACCACGTCTCTGGGCAACCTGTTCCAGTGTTTTACCACCTGCATTGTAGAAAATTTCTTCCTTATGTAGGCTAAATCTACCCTCTTTTAGTTTAAAACCATTATTCCCTTGTCCTGTCACAAAAGGCCTTGCTGAAAAGATTGTCCCTATTGTTCTTTTAAGCTCTCTTTAAGTATGCATTGTAGAAAATTTCTTCCTTATGTAGGCTAAATCTACCCTCTTTTAGTTTAAAACCATTATTCCCTTGTCCTGTCACAAAAGGCCTTGCTGAAAAGATTGTCCCTATTGTTCTTTTAAGCTCTCTTTAAGTATTGAAAGGCTGAAGGCCTTGCTGAAAAGATTGTCCCCATTGTTCTTTTAAGCTCTCTTTAAGTATTGAAAGGCTGTAATAAGGTCTCCCCAGAGCCTTTTCTTCTCTAGGCTGAATAACCCCAACTCTCTCAGCCTTTCTTCATAGGAGAGATGTTCCAATCCTCAGATAATTTTTGTGGCCCTCTTCTGGACATGCTAAAACAGGTCCACACCTTTCCTGTGCTGAAGACATAGTACTCCAGATGATGTCTTATCTGAGCAGAGTAGAGGGGCAGAGTCACCTCCCTTGTTCTGCTGGCCAGATTCCTTTCAATGCAGCCCGGGATGCAACTGGCCTTCTGAGCTGTGAGTGCCCATTGCTGGCTCATGTCCAGCCTTTTGTCCACCAGTACCCCCTAAGTCCTTCTCCACAGGTCTGCTCTAAATTCCTTCATTCCCTAGCCTGTATTGATGTGGAGACTGCACCAATCTAGGTGCAGGACCTTGCACTTGGTCTCATTGAATCTCATGAGGTTCACAGACACCCACTTCTCAAGCCTGTCCAGGTCCATCTCAATGGCATCCTGTCCCTCAAGTGTTTTGAGTGCCCCACTCAGTTTGGTTTCATCTGCAAACTCGCTGAGAGTGCACTTGATCCCACTGTCCATGTCATTGATGAAGCTACTAAGCAGCACTGGTCCCAGTACAGACTCCCAAGGCACACCAGTTCTCATGAAGCAACTTGTTTTCCTCCATGGACTGTAGAAGGATCCATGGGAGACTGGGTAACTAAGTATAAGTGTGTGTATATATATATATCAATATGAAGAACTAAAATTAGTTACTTGAAATGGAAAAGTTCCTCCTCCAAGCACATTCATTGTTTGCAGCTGTTGTTCATTACCAATATTCTGAAATGCTTTCTAGTCTAGTGCCCATCATAGGGACCTTGATATGCATAGTTGGCCTTTACCTGAAAACCTAACTATTACACAATTTTTTTAGTATTTTTTTTTTTCTTTTCCTTGAAGTTAAAGAATCCATAGAAGGGAAGAACCTGGAGTAAGTGTCATTTCTTTCACACGTTGCACAAGTCTCCATCCTGCCTCCTGTAATAAACCATCTAGCAGCTGCCATCACTGCAGGGCTGGCCTGTGTCTGTTCTGTCAGAGATCAGATTTGGTACAATTGGGTTTTTTTTACTGTAGATACACTGTACAGTGATAGATGATAGGTGCTGCCTGAAGTAGCATACATAGAAGAGGCATCTCTAGGATAAACACGTAAGATTTATGTGCTCACAG